AAGGTGCATTAGTAAACAACATATTATTGCGGTAAACAACAAAAGCATTAACAAGGTTATCAGTTCAAAACGTTCAAAACGATTCATTACACAGTCAAATTTTGTATGTATTCACACTAGAATTCCTTCAAGCGGAATTAAATTAAAATTTATCTTTTTAACGCGAGAAGTCTTGCCAACAAACTTAACGATTGTTTTTTGTACAATAGTCAAACAAACCTGCCTTAATTTGTGTTTGTGAAACTTTTTTCAATGATAAAATCCCGAACTGTCTATTCAAAAATTTGATAAAATCCCATGGTCTATTCAAAAATTTGTTCCATTTATCGTAAGGATAAAGCATAAACAGGATAAACCTGCAAAGCAGCATTATATAAATCGCTATAGTTCAGTATAGTTACCAACTTTGAACTTTTTGTTTTACAAAATAATTTAATTAGTTCAATCCTGCTATAATCCCGAAAATCCCGAGATTTTGTGTTTAGAATCCCGGGATTTTTGGGACCCAAAAACGTCCGGGATCCCGGGATCTCGGGATCCCGGGATTGCAATCCCTAGTCCATTCATAAAACATAAAACATTTATTATACTTAGCAGATAAATTTTTAAGGCATTCATTTATTTAAGAGTTTAAAAACGATTCTTAAAGTTTATTATACGAGCTGCGTGTTTCTGATGTAATAAACTTCCCCATATAATATTAGCATAATTTATTAAATTATATGACTATAAATAAATGAGGAGTATAATAATTATACAAGGAGAAGATGAGTAGGAGTGAACCACGGATAAGAATTAATCATTGATGCCATAGCTAAAACGGGCCAAGAAAATGACTCGAAAATTTTACCAAGTTATCATTGGGAAATTATTGTAAAGACAATCCAATATTTTACCTTATTTTAGTACGCGTGTTTGCGTTAGCAGTGTATTCCACTTTTTTCGGTGCAAAAGAAAAATTTTTGGTACTTTTTGAAATTTTTTTATAAACATATTTCCTATTTTAAGACATCAGATAGTTATGGAAAAATAACTAATAAATAATTAAGTATCATATTCATAAACCACGTATTTATTATACATTCAATACTTTAATCTAGTTGAACAGTTTGGGTAGGAATGAGCCATTACTTCATGGACAGGAGCGAGCTGCGGCTCACTTGTACTTAGTGTAAGTTTTATGTTAAAAAAGTATTGTCTTTTGCGTAAAAACATTATAAGGTTTGGCTTTAAGTATTTCAATTGTTACATTGCCTCGAGTGCATAGAAGAACTACTTTAAATGCAAAAACTTCTAGTAAAGATATGAAAGAAGCATTAATTTAAATCCCAAAAGGAAAAAGTATTAGAGATACAGCAAAAGCTTCCAACATTCCATATGCAACGCTTCGTTGTCAAAGGAAAAAAAAATGCTGGTTGATGAAAACATTATGTTGACTCCAAACTATTATATTAAAAGAATATTCACAGATGAGCAAGAGTTAGAACTGAAGGTATATATTCTGACTTGCTCAAGATTGTTCTATAACTTTCCAATAAAAGAATGTCAACGTATAGCTTTTGAGATGGCAACTATTAATAAAATTGATATTCCACAAAAGTGGTACCAGGACTCAATAGTAGGCATGGAATGGATGAACAATTTTAGAAAATGAAATCAAAATTTTTCCCTTAGAACACCTGAAAGATGTTCTCTTTCCAGGGCAACGTCATTTAATGCCCATAATGTAGCTATATTTTTTGATAAATTAAAAGAAGTTCTTGCAAGATCACTAACATTCACAAATGGAACACGGATTTTTAACCTTGATAAACTGGAACTGTTATTGTGCAGAACCCACAAAAAGTGATTTTTGATAAACTGTGTATTTTTATTAGTTTGATTTTTTTTTTTTACAAAACTACTCAATTTTAAGGTTCTTGCAAAGAAAGGAATTAAAAGTATATGCAAAGTTACAAGTGCTGAAAGAGGAACCAGGATCTCTCGGACTTGCATGTAAAACAGGCTGGATAAACAATGTAATCTTTTTGGATGTTATGAATTCACTGGTTTTATAGTAAATTTGTAAACAATATTTTTAGTTAGATATTGATTTTCTAAAGGACACGTAACTCTGTCTATACAGTTGCATTTTCTAAAGTTTTCGGTATTTTGGCTGCGCAAAATGTGTTGTGGGACTTAATAATAGTACTAATGTTTGGCATGCAGCTGTAATTTATTTTGACGGTGCTTCTGTTAAAAATCTTGTGTAGCTTGTGGTGTGCTGGGAAATGTAAGTCGATTAAGTTCAAGAAAAGGTTTCCTAATTTGGCGACAACATCCTTACTAAAATGGGGATTAAACTATTATATGATGTTTATGATGTTTATGATATTTTTTATATGATATTTCGTTTATGTTTATTAGTATGACGATTAGTTTTTTGTAAATTTAAATTATGACGATATTGGATATTGCTACTATGTCCAGACTTTATAAGGGCTTCTTTGTAAATAGGAGAAGAGTTTTCGAAAACTTTTTTGCTGGAGGAGTTTGATGATAATCTTTGTTCAATAGAGGTCGGCAACTGTTTTAAAATACTTGGTGGATGGTTAGAGCTGGCATGGATATAGTTTAACAAACTTTCAGGTTTATGAAGAGGTTTGAAGCTGCAGTCATTAAGATTTAATGTAATATCGAGATAATTCACTATTTTTATGTTGCATTGAATAGAAATAAAAATGCTGTTACTTTAGAATATCTGAGTCATATGTATTTTAACTTTTTCCATTTGTGGACCGCTGGCGTTTTTAATTACGGCCGACCCATCATCTCTATACAGCTCAAAACCAAACTTGTTATAAAACTGAGAAATTTGGAAAAGAAGGAAAATTCCAACCAACTCACATACCTTGGCACTGTCAAACGCTCCCATGGTGACGTCAAATAAATCGCTTGATTTTTTACCCAAACTTCGTTATCGTTAAATAAGGATTTACGTGCGTGATGAATCAAAAATTTGTGCTCGTTAGCAATGGTAACATACTGTTCAGCAAAGAAAATAGAGTCGATGAGAAGTTTCTCGTTTATAGAAGAATAAAAGTCAACTATATCAAAAATGAGGAATTTATAAAAATGTTTATCTTTAATATTCTTGACCCATTTAATTACCTCCTGTGTGTTACTGCACTGGTTAATGGATAAAATATTTCTTAGCTGGTTGTTTATTTCGTATAAAATATGTTTAACTATTCTTCCAATTTCGTTCTTTGGGTTTATGAGACCAACCGTAAGAGTTCTTTGCTGAATTTATGAGACGAACCGTAGGATTATTTAAAAAATTAGGTTTATGATCTTTCAATGTGATGAAACAGTTTGATGATCCATTAATATGGATTTTGTTGAAAACATCGTGATTTTTTAAAATAATTTTTCCTTCTTTATTAATCTGCAGCCGTATTCTCATCTCTCCGTTAAGCTTAACGGAGCGTTAGTAGAAAATTTATTTTTAACTACATTAATAAAAAAAGTTCTTAAAAAATATAATTTTTTAAAAATAAATGTTTTATTTTAGTATTATTTTTATATTAAAAAATTTAAATAAAGTTTTTGTCATTTCTTCACTTTGAAATATTTTAATGAAATTTCAGAAAAAAAGTTCCGTTAAGCTTAACGGAGAGATGAGAATACGCCTGCTGATATTTTAAATTGTTTTTTTTATATTGTATTCAAGACGTCAAACTTATACAAGCTGCCTTGTATAAGTTTGACGTCTTAACTACATATGCGTAGATAAATTTTGAATTTTGAATAGAGGAAATATCATTTTCTAATTTATTTTGAAAGTTGCATTGGATCTTCCTAAACTATATATTTTTAATAATTTCAAATAAATCGTTTTCAAATGCAAACATATCTTTAATCTGTTGAGGGCAATGCGGTGTGTTAATGCCATAAAATATACAGTTTTCATTAATATTATCATTATCATGAGTATTGCACATACCATTAGGTTGTTTGTTCATGTAGAAAACAGCTTTCCATCTCATTCTTTTAATCAATATTTCGGTTTTTTCTAGTAATCGCAACTTGTATTCTTTATTGGATATGTTTTTAGCTGAATAATTCAAGGTTATGTTCTCCATTTTAAACGACTTTAGAAGAGTGCTCAACTGAAGGAGTAAATATATTATTATTGAGTTGTGTTGTATTCTGTTGGATTTAATACAGCTCTTTGTCGGTTTAAGAGTGATTGATATATATATATATTTATAAAATAGATTTTATTTAGATATATTTATAAAATTATTGATATAGATATTATTGATTTAGATACAGAAATTATTGATTTAGATATATTTATAAAATAGATTTGATTTACGTTTGATCTCGTTGCAACGCAATTATGTATTTTTTATAACGGTTTTTATTTTAATGATTTTAAATATATGGCTGAATGATTGCCGAATAGAATGAAACTTGAAGTCCCATAAAAAAGTCGTATTTTTTCATTTAAATATTTAATATATGTATATGTATATATACATAAATATATATATATATATATATATATATATATATATATATATATATATATATATATATATAAATATATATATATATATATATATATATATATATATATATATATATATATATATATATATATATATATATATATATATATATATATATATATATATATATATATATATATATATATATATATAATATGTAAGTTGATTTTAATAAAAAAGGCAGCGTATAACTATTTTTAAATATATTTTGATGTAAAAATATATTAACGATATTTCGCTGACCTATTGTGGTCAGCGTCATCAGGTAATAATCAGGTAATAAATATATATATATATATATATATATATATATATATATATATATATATATATATATATATATATATATATATATATATATATATATATATATATATATATATATATATATATATATATATATGGAACTAAAACTTAAAAAAAAAGAAAGAAAAGAAATAAAACTTTTTTTTGAAAATAGAGATTTATTCTTCCAAGTGTAAAAAAGTAATAATTTTTAAACATATTTAATAATATTGAAAAAAAATGTTAAATTTATTACATTTTTTTTTTTACAATAAACTTACAAAAGACTTATTTGAAAACTAAATAAACTATTAAATATTTATTGTTTTACTAAATTTATATTAATAATTTAACGAGGAAATCCTTAGAGCATATAGTTATCAGTGTCGATTGCAAGACAATTATTGATAGCGTAACGAATACGATCTTCCATAATGTTTTTTGTGGTATAAGGTGGCAGTCTTAATACGAAGAAACAAGTTTGAGCTGTTGGGAGACCATTGATTGGCTTAAAAAAAAAAAAAATCAAAGTTACTCATTGTTTAAGCAGATTAGAGCCTGTCAATAGAATCAATGTCATAAAATGGAGAACACTAATTCAACCGGACACCATTTTGAAATACTGTTTTGATATACTGTTTATTTTAAGTTTTTTGAAATACTATATATAAGTCTGTGAGTTTTTTATAATACTGTATATAAGTCTGTGAATTTTGTGTTTATTTATAGTGACATAAAAATTGTGACATCTAAAATAAACAAGATTTTGTGTACAGTTGGTATTTTATCAAATAATCAATATCATAAAATAGTTTACACCAACTCGACCGGATTGACAGACACATCAAGTTATTCAGAGAAAAATTTGTTACTATGGAGTTCTTGACTATCAATATTTAATATTGTTAACAAAATTTGTTTTTATAGTGCGTTTTTATACTAGTTTATATCTTTTAAATGTCTTTTACAGTTTACTAGTACAACAGGCCGGGGCCCCCCGCACTTTTTTCTAAAGGACCTTTTTTTAAATTTTTTTTTTTAGATATAGAGGACTTTTCTTTTTTTGAAATAGATGATTGTTTATTTTTTCCAATTTCTAAACTGTCTTAAATTTTTTAGATACTTTACTCATAATATTTTCAAGCGATTTGCGAAAAAATTAAGATTCAACAAAAAATTGGCATTCGGCAAAAGATATGTATTTAATTGGTATGGAAATCTTCATGCCAAAATGAAGTAGCGCAAAAAATAGGCGATTGGTCTACATTACACAACCACAAAAATAGGCGATTGGTCTACATTACAAAACCACGATCATGAACAAATATATTTTGATACATTAGATGTTTCAAATCTCAAACAAATATTTTTTGATACATTTAATGTTTAAACAGAAAAATTACTCATAATTTCATGGGATTTCATCATAACTTCATTGAATTTCATCATAACTTTGTAGAATTTAATTAAAAGAACTTTAATGTAGACGTTTCCAAACTCTTAAAAATCCACTACTTTTCTGATAGTTGTACTGGCCAGTACAAAAATTAAGTGATTTAATCAGCATTGGCTTAATTAGCCAATTTTTTCACAATTGGCATTGGTATCAACTTTTTTTAATGATTTGCCAATTTTCTAATAATAATAATAATAATAATAATAATAATAATAATAATAATAATAATAATAATAATAATAATAATAATAATAATAATAATAATAATAGTAATAATAATAATAATAATAATAATAATAATAATAATAGCAATAATAGCAATAATAATAATAATAACAACAACTATTTATTGCTGAAATTTAACAAAACAACAATTAAAATAATTTAAATGTTCATAATGTTAAACGAGAGCGTTTAATAAGCACGCTCTATATCAGCCGGTGACTATATTAGCTGTTGAATATATTTGCTTTCGATATATTCGTCTAATCGTTTTTACTGATCTAGATAGCACGATAGATGGAGGAAGACGATTCCATACAGTGGCTATTCTATTAAGAATAAAATTCTCTCTTAATGGACAGCATTCTTTTATTAGTTCTTTTTTGAATCGAATGAGATTTCTTCTATATGCAGATTATTCCATTAACTCATCAGGTTTTATTATTCTTTTTGATGTAGATATACATCGTATTTTTTGATCGTAGTCATCGTAGTTTCTATTTTGATTATACTTACCAATTTCTATTTTGCATTATTTTACATTTACTTATATTAAGTTTCATCTTTTATTCCACCATTTAACTATTTTATCTATATCATTTTGTAATTCGTTTCTTAGTATTTCAATTTTATCCAGCTCAGTACAGCGCTCAACTTGTTTCTCCATGCAGTGGTCTTGTTCTTCAAGGTATCTGTTTCGGAGTTAAAGAGTTGAGAGTGGATTTTAACCCAAATAAAGTAGCCTCCTCGACAGTAGTGGCGCTCTCAGCCTTGGGGAGGTATATAACATTAAAAATTAGCTCTAACAGCTCAGAAGTATTTATCTTCATCTTCTGTTGAAAGTGAACAACTGTTCAGTTGTGGAGGACAGATTTATTTTCCCCGAAGAAACAGATTGGCTTCAGGAACAGAAAAAATATTATGTTTTTACATTGCATTATTTGTATTTACCATTTTAAATACTAAACATTCTTTAGCTGCTATTGGTGTTATCTTTAAAACCCTAAAGTATTATTTTTTTTGGTATTTCTAAAGTGTCTTTTTTATTTTGAAGAAATGTATTTATTTCATGTTATAAAAGATTATTTGGTTGTTTTTTTTTATAAAGAAATTTTAAAATTCAAAATTTATCTTAATGGTTATCTTAATACAATTTTCTTTTTAGAATTGAAATAAAAAGCTCTAAAGTTATATTTATAGAACATTTTCTTTTCATAGTTTCAGAAAATGATCTATTATTTTAATTGAGCTTTTCTTTTAAAGGTTTTGGATCAGATTTTAAAGTAAAGGTTTTGGATCAGATTTTAAAGTAAAGGTTTTGGATCAGATTTTAAAGTAAAGGTTTTGGATCAGATTTTAAAGTAAAGGTTTTGGATCAGATTTTAAAGTAAAGGTTTTGGATCAGATTTTAAAGTAAAGGTTTTGGATCAGATTTTAAAGTAAAGGTTTTGGATCAGATTTTAAAGTAAAGTTTTTGGATCAGATTTTAAAGTAAAGGTTTTGGATCAGATTTTAAAGTAAAGGTTTTGGATCAGATTTTAAAGTAAAGGTTTTGGATCAGATTTTAAAGTAAAGGTTTTGGATCAGATTTTAAAGTAAAGGTTTTGGATCAGATTTTAAAGTAAAGGTTTTGGATCAGATTTTAAAGTAAAGGTTTTGGATCAGATTTTAAAGTAAAGGTTTTGGATCAGATTTTAAAGTAAAGGTTTTGGATCAGATTTGAAAGTAAAGGTTTTGGATCAGATTTGAATCCAAGTTAAGAAATCAATTAACGGCTATACACTTTAATATAGATATGCTTTTCTTTTTGAGAAAATTTACACGATTTAAAATTGTATGGTTTTATATTTTTGAAATTGCCACAATTGTGCAATTTCAAAAATAAAAAAGCCACAATTGTGCAATAAGTACCTTACTAACAAAAATGCTAGAATTTTTAAAATTTATGCCATCATGCTAAAGATTATAGGATTCAATGGAATATCTTTGCAACATTACATGGAACACCAACAACATTGGTTAAAAGATTTTTAGTGCTAGTCTTTAACTATTTTCATCAATTCATGCAACAAAATGCAACAAAATGTCAAAAGAGTTTCTCCATTTTAATCTACATTACAGCATTTGCTATTCTTAATGTACCTACTATTCTAATGTATCTCTAAATTAATGCACCAGCCTCATTATTAAATTTTTAATCTTTGACACAGTTGAACTTTTGTCCACAGATTTAGTTTTAGAGTACCTACTCCACAATAGACCATTAATGCACTTATTTTGGGTCATTCTTTGTAAAAACAAATAAATTTTGAAACATCTTTCTCTCCTTTTTCAATATTTTTCTCCCATTAGGCTTGAAAACGATATGGTGATTATAATTATAATAAATAAACTATCAGCTGCTCCAACTGTCTCTGATCCAACTGGCACAAAATGATTATTATATACAATGGTACAATATAAAAAAACTTCAAAACAACAATAAACACTATGCCGATTTTAGAACTGAGCCATATTATTGCCTTGTTGCCCATGCACCCACAGTCAATGCAACTTTTGCTAGTTTTTGCTGTTAACAAATACAAACTGATCTAAGTAATTAGTTTCAATAAAATCTCACAACAGCTTCATTCTTTTTATTCACCAATTTTAACTAATACTATTGATAAAGAGTTTATTTAGTAGAAAAAATTTTAGTTATATCTGCAACAGAATTACTTGCAGGTTGCATTGAACTGAATGAAGTAAGAAAAATAAATTTTTGGTCAGCCATTTTATTTTTAGTATGAGTATCATTGGCAGGACATCTACTTCTTTCTCTAACTTCAGTTTTACTATACTTTTTTATTTTATTTATTTCATTCTTAGTAGTATTATATTATTAGGGTGTCAATTTTTCTTTTTTTCTTTTGAAATTATAAAAAGGTAATTTTTTAATTATGGGAAACTGTATTAATAACTTGGAAAAAAAAAATTAATTTTGATTTTTGATTGGAAAAAAACAATTTTTGCTTAGGAAAAGTTAATTGACCACTAATACTACCAAAATTTTTCATTTTTTATAATTAGGTCAAAAAAAAGTAATTAAATAACAACTTTAAAAATAACTGTTTAAAAAAAAAAAATTAAGTTTTTTTCAGAATGCATCATCTTAGAAAATGCGTCTTGAAGTTTTCCTTCAATAAATTCTAAAATCTTCATTTTTTATCCTTAATTAATTATGCTTCTCTTGATACCCAGGCTAATTGGAAAAAAAAAATTTTCTTTATATTAGGAGGCAATTAATTTTTGAAAGACAAAATTACTAAGTTAAAATTTTTTTTTTTCAAAATTTTAATTTTTTAGTTTTAAATACTGTTGTTTGGCAAACAAATTAAATAATAAATACTCTTTTTACATTTTCAAAAAAAAAAAAAAAGGGGGAAATCGACACACCCTACTATTTTTTTATCTAGAACAGAACAAAAAAACATTTAAACATATGACAGCTAAATAAGAGCAGTCTGAAGTGGCAATTCACAATTCATAACAAATATCAAGCAATGGCTTAAAGTATGGTTTAAAAAGTTAACCAAAGGTTTCAAGTAGTGACCACAGCAATTAAGTTAAATAATGACCATGGAAACAAAAACAAATTTTTTTTTTATTAACTACCTAGTATATTTGTTGTTGTCAAACAATGGGCTTATAGAGTTGGAGTAAAACCCAAACAAAAAATAAAAAACTTTTGTAAACAACCAGTTGCTATAGAATTTTGTAAACAATCATTTGCTATAGAATTTAGCAAAAACAGAACTTACTTGAAGCTGTTATTTATATCTTATTGAACAAGTTAATTTTTGGAAACTTTTTACTTGATGTCTTAGAAAACTTAAAAGTTTCTGATGATATAGATAGAGGTAATATATAATTTGTAGATCATAAATACACTAATTTGATTGGTCTGTTAAAATAATGTTGTGATTGGTTTATTTCAATGTTCTGTACAGTAAACTAAAAAAATTAATAAATCTCTGCATAAATCCATTGATAGACTTAAGTAATCATAAATTTATTGACTTACACATAAAGATAGACTTCAGCGTACATAAATCATTGATTTTATTTCAAGGAACAGATTTTGGCTAGGTCAAGGAACAGATTTTGGCTAGGTCAAGGAACAGATTTTGGCTAGGTCAAGGAACAGATTTTGGCTAGGTCAAGAAACAGATTTTGGCTAGGTCAAGGAACAGATTTTGGCTAGGTCAAGGAACAGATTTTAGCTAGGTCAAGGAACAGATTTTGGCTAGGTCAAGGAAAAGATTTTAGCTAGATCAGTTAGGAACAGATTTTTTAGGAATAAAAATTCTTGAAATACTCTCATCGTATATATTTAAAAAAAGTTTGTTTTAAACTTTAAATCTGAAGCAAGGAAAAGAAAACAAAGAAAGAAAAAGAAAAAAAGCAATAGAAAAGAAAAATTTTTTCTGTAAATTACTAAGAGATTTTCATCACAAAATATTTAAACACATTTAGATTTGCTTATAGTGAAATTTAGTGATCACCGGATTCATCAGTGTATTACCGGAATTATCAAACCTTATCACATTTATAATAAAAAAATATTTTTTGGGGAAAATGTTTTTAAAACATTTAAGATTCTTTACTGTTTTTTAAGAAAATTCCAAAACTCAAACAAACCTTTGATGCGCCAACTATTTGAAATTTGTGAGTTAAATCATTCAAGTTGGTTGGCAGACGACATCTTCCAGAAACAAATCGCAAAAATGAGAGTAGATCAACTTTTGAAAAGGATCGTAAAATTTCCCATAGCCAAACTATACGTAAATCATCTGTACTTATGTCACGGCATCTAAAATTAAACATAAATAAACTGCGCTTATGACTTCTAAAATAAAACATAAATTATTTATGCTTATGTCATGACATCTAAAATAACTCATTTGTGTTTATGTAACAACATCGAAAATCAACATCAATAATTAAGTTAGAGCTTTCAAACAAGTTGCATTTAGAAAACAGTTTTTGTTGTTATAAATACCGAGATATACTCTTTAAAACATCAACATCAATGTCGCGAGATCCACATACTAATTGCTCTAGCCGATCACCTGTCATCAAAGATAAAATTGATATTGGTACTAATAACATCAAACCTTCACGAATGCTTTGTATCTGAAGTGACATCTCATTTAAACGAAAACTGATTGCTTTTTCAATATATATAGAGCAATCATTTTTCTGTAGTATTTTTATTTCACCACCAGGAATGAGCGGCTTCAGATCACCATCAGATGTCTGACAGACATAAGTCATTAGAGGCATAGTAACATTGTCGTTGTCACTTAAAGTAATACTTTTTAACATAGAAATGCATTGTAGAAACATTGAATCAACCTAAATTAAAAAAAAAAAACAGCAAGAAAAAAAACATTAAACTTATTTCTGAAAAAATAAATAAACTATAAACTTTATAATAACAAAAAATTATACCTCAGCAACATCATTAAGTGTGACTTTAATACCAACAAGTTGTTTCCAGACACATGGAGCCAAATGTAAATGCAAAGGTTTGTGGTTAAGGAGAGCAATACCCATAAGTATTCCCAGAAACTTATAATATTTCAATGTTTCAGGAGAAGTTATAGAAGTATTCACTATAAATTGATCTTGATTAAAGCCATTTTCAACAGCCATGTTTGGAGTGGGAACAAGAAGTTTGAAAAGTTTTATACAATTCCCACAGTTACCTTCAAGTTCCTAAAAATTGGAGTTTGTTAAACAAATATCTATTTCTAACCTACTTCTCTGAAAATATTCAAAAATCAAACTACAAACATTTGAATGATAAAAAATAAATAATCCATAAACAAACCATGCACATTTGAGTAGATATTTCATCAAATACACCTCCAGCATCATCTGCAGCTTCATTCAAAAGTTTAATTTTCCATTCTCTGACTAACATAATTGAGTCGGATAAAGCAAATGACAAGACTTGATCAGCTACTTGTTTAAACACTGTTTCACACTGTTCACCACTTAAACAAAAAAAAAAAAACAGTTTTACACTGTTCACCACTTAAACAAAAAAACAGTTTCACACTGCTCACTACTTAAACAAAAAGAACAACAATTCACACTGTTTACCACTTTAACAAAAAAAACACTGTTTCACACTGTTTACCATTAGAACAAAAGTTTTTTAAACACTGTTTCACACTGTTCACCACTAGAACAAAAGTATTTTTTATCCAAACATAATTAAACAGGTGTTTGATGAATAAAAAGAATTGTGTACCTTGTATCAAAACGTTTAACTGTTATTTGTGGTTGGAGCTTTGATTTCAAAAATGTTGATCTGAGTGCACGAATAAGAGGGAGAGCATGGGCCCTCCTAGTAAGAAGTGTCCGCAAAACACCATCTTCAAATAAATACAGCCAAGATTGAGGTGTCGTCTAAAAAAATGAAAAAAAAAAATTAACTTTATTTCATTACATTATTTGTATAAACATTAGTACTATTTACTAACAAACTTTAGGAAAAAACAATTACTAACAAATTCTAGGAAAAAATATTTACTAACAAATTCTTAGAAAAACATTCCCAATTCTACAAAAACTCTAGTTATGTCTCTGATTATCTTTTTTGGAGACATTTTTTTTTTGTTTTCACAAAAATATTTTTTGTAGAATTGGGAATGTTTTTCCTAGAATTTGTTAGTAAATATTTTAATGACATTTTTCAGAGACATAACTCTAGTTATAAACTCTAGATATATCCAATTTCAAAAGAAAATCATTCCATAGATAATTAGGACTTACTTTCTTTAATTTCACTTTTAGCTAAGTTGTTTCGAATTTTTTTTCAAACTTTTTATAATTTTTCTATGAGTGATGAGTGAAAAAAAAAAGCTTAAAAAACAAATATATTACAAAAATACCTTAACTTGCATGCATTGAAAATGCTTTCAATATGGAAAAACTAAAGGTTGAAAAGAATATCCGGAATTCCAGAACTATCTGGAAAAAGATAATCCCTGTCAATATCATAGAATACTTTTCCCAATTTTTTTATATTCAAATATATTTTATATTCCCAATTGTATTTTTTTTTAATTCTCAAATATTACCACATTGTATTTTTTTTTAATATTCAAATATTCCTCAATTGTATTTTTTTAAATCTTCTATAATCATAATATTATATAATATAAAGTTATAGATAATAATAACAGTAAAAAAAAAAAAAAAATTAATAACATATAAAAATGAAAAACTTCAGTAAATTCATGTATTGATAACACAATTACAAGATGAATACAATATTTTAAGATAAATACAAAATTTGCTCGCATTTATATATATATATATATATATATATATATATATATATATATATATATATATATATATATATATATATATATATATATATATATATATATAGTAACTTAAAATTGGCAGATACCATTGTTAATGGAAGATGCCATTGCTTTTATGTTGTTTAATTAGTAGACCTAAAAACTTTTGTGCCTTTTCTCCTATTTGGAACTTTGAATGTATATCATCAACATATCTTTTAAATGATTTAACATGAATGTTGATGTTAAGTACCATTAAAAGAGCATTACTTTCATGATACAGTAAAAAAACACTTGGCAACCGTGATCATAAGAGCTAACCCTGGCCTGCAGTTTTTAAGCTCATGAATCATATTCATACAATTGCAATAAGAAGAACAAAGCTCTAAAAGTCATTCTTATCAATTTCCCATAATCTTGCTGTATCCACAAATTGCTGAGAATTTTTTAAATGTGTTTTATTTAAGTTTAGAGTTTTGCTTTCTTATGTATGTGTTTGTAGAAAACAGCTATGAGAGGAAAAGTCTAGAAAAGAAATATTTAAGTCTATGAAAGAAAGTGTTAACAACAAATTATGGAAAAGATTTTACAAAAAATCAAAATTTCTTAACGTATCCAAAAAGATTTTTGTCTTTACCCTAAATCACTGAAATCAGTCCTAAGTTAAGAAGAGTATTTAAAAAAATATAATACGCACCAAATAAAAATTAAACAATTTAATTTTTAATTAATTAAATTGTTTAATTTTTATTTGGTCCTCCAAAAAATCTCTGAAGTCTACTTAGTTCTAAAAATTAACTGAAACTGCCAATTATTCATATCCCGGTGTTTATAAATTAGAGTACTCTTGTGGCAATGTTATGTTGATAAAACAGGACTAAAGATCTCGGATATGCCAGCATCAAACAAGTGCACAACAAGGTGTTAGGAAAAATTCAGCTGTGGCTGAAGATTTCAAAAATTGCCAAGGAAATTTCCTCTGGAACGGTCACAATACCTTAAAAATAGAAATGAATAGTTTTAACAGGAAAGTTGAGGAAGCATTGGAAATACCTTTCGCAATGATGGTCTTAACCAGGATGATGACAATTACGTGATATCATTTTAATTTTGTATAATGGTTTTTACTTGATAATGAGGGTATCAATATTCCCATCGAAATATCGTAAAAATAAATATATTTTTAACAAATAGAAATAAATCCATAAAAGTAGATTTATTTTAAAATATCTATACAATTAAACTCTATTAAAGATATCAAGATTTAATATATATATATATATATATATATATATATATATATATATATATATATATATATATATATATATATATATATATATATATATATATATATATATATATATATATATATATATATATATATATATATATATATATAATAAAGACTTACCTCTAACCTAATAAGGCTAAGCAAATTCCAGGTTTGTAAAACCATGTCTGAAAAGGTCCAAAGTACATAGAATCGGTCTCTAATTAATTCAACTTCAACATTACACAAAGATTTATAACTTGAAGGAATAGCATTTGGTGTTCCTATTTGCAATTGAGTATTAGAAGATGGCGATTGAGAATTAGACCATGCGGCACAATGGGTTGTTCCTTCAGACATAAAAATTTAACAAAAGTTTAAAATATGCAAAATATATATTTAAAAAGTAACTTAGTTAAATAAAAAAATAAAATTTAAGCTTACTTTCTACCTTTATGCTATTTTTGTTTTTTTGTAAAATAATCAAGTTTTTTTTTATCAAATAATTAATTATTGTTGCAAAATAGTAAACTGTTGTTGTGAAATAATCAACTATTGTTATGAAATAATCAATTATTGTTGTGAAATAATCAACTATTGTTGTCCAATAATCAATTATTGGCGTGAAAAATCAATTATGGTTGTGAAATAATGAATTCATGTGAAATATTCAATAAAGAATAACATTAAAATTTTTTAAATTTGTATTACTAAAAATAAACAGATAACTTACTAAAAATTTTATTTTGAAAAAATATAACATAAATTGTATACTACTACCAAATAACAAACAAACAGTTGTGTTGTTCAAGTAAACATAACACAGTCTAGTGTTATTAAAGTAAACAAATACACAGTCTAGTGTTAAAAAATTTTTATAATAAAAAATATTAAAATTTTAACACAAAGTTTACTAGCTAACTTTAAAAAAACATAATAAAAAATGAATTTCTATTACTTGATATTATGTTACATATCAGCCAAAAAAAAATTTAAAAGTAAAGAATGAAATATATAATGAACTATTAAACAACCAAAGAGTAAAAACCTGGTTAATTGCCATATTAATTTTATGAAAATTTTTTAAGAAAATCACTGAATTAGTAATCTCAGTGAAAATTATTAAAAGAATTATTAACTATGATTATAATAATAAATAATATAGAATATATTATTATATATAAAAATGAACAAATAATAACAGAATATTAAAATCAATATCATAATGATTATTAACAAATTTCTTAGAGCATTATACTTATTACTTTAACTGTATAAACTCAAAATAATAAAAAAAAAGCACTAACCTGCAGATAGTCTTGTGATGTTAGTACCACTGAATGTGCAAACTAATTGAGGCAAATAGTGAGGATTTGTTGTTCCAATTCCTAACTGTCCTTCTTCATTAGTACCCCATCCCCATATGTTGCCACTGTTATCAAGAGCAAGTATATAATTGCAGCCAACAGCTATATCAATAATAGGATGAGGCATCAATGAGCTAACAATCTGTGGTATAGTGTTATCAAGTAAATCTGTTTCAGCAATACCAAGAAAATCTTCTAAATAATCAAATTAATGTAACTATATATACACATCTACATCTACTGTAATTAGGTGAGATTGGCATGTTTATGTGAACTATGTATATAGATTTGGAGACTTTTTTTACTGGCATAAATCCATACAGTTTATTTAGAAAAAGAAGAAAAAACAAAGAACAATGAAAAAAAGAATTGCTATATCAACTCAAACTCTTAGTTAATGATGCACTCCCTTACATAGTCAGTATGTACTAAAGACCTCAAAGCTCTCTATTTCAGTATGACATCATATTGTTTAGCTAAGTATGTATATTTTATATATATGTATATATATATGTATATATATATATATATATATATATATATATATATATATATATATATATATATATATACATATATATATATATATATATATATATATATATATATATATGTATATATATATATATATATGTATATATATATGTATATATATATGTATGTATATATATATATTTATGTATGTATGTGTATATATATATAATATATATACATATATATAAAATATACATACTTAGCTAAACAATATGATGTCATTTGATGTTTCAACTACATCATCAGTTAAAATATTTCTGTTAAAAACATTATAAAATATAGTATATAATTGTGAAAATAAACATAATAATAGCCATAAAATTAATAACAAACTTCCTATATATACAAGATATTAATTATATATACATATATATATACATATATATATATATATATATATATATATAAGATATTAATTATATATACATATATATATATATACATATATATATATATATATATATATATATATATATATATATATAAATACATATATATATATATATATATATATATATATATATATATATATATATATATATACGCATATATATATGTATATATACATATATATATATACGCATATATATACACATATATATATGTATACATATATATATATATATATATATATATATATATATGTATATATATATATATATATATATATATATACATATATATATATATATATATATATATATATACATATATATATATATATATATATATATATATATATATATATATATATATATATATATATATATATATACACACATATATAAAAAAACATATATATATACGTATATATATGTGTGTATATATATATATATATATATATATATATATATATATATATATATATATATATATATATATATATATATATATATATATATATATATATATGTACATATATATATATATATAAATATATATATATATATATATACATATATAAAAAAACATAAATTACTAAAAAAAAAAAAAATTTAATGCAATTATTACCAATTTACTAACATTTTTACTATAAACCAGGGCTACAGCACATTAACTAAGGTTTTATACAAGTAGCATATATGATTAAAGAATTTCATCATAGAATATTTTTTTTCTTGAATCAAAGATATTCTTAGTTACTATTATATATTAAATTTCCATTTTTTTAAGAACATCGTGTTTTAAACAATTTTTTTTTTAAACATTTATATCTTATATTCTATTAAGTAGTTCTGATTGTTTTATAAAATATGCTATAAATAGACAGTTTTTATTTGATGATACAAATAACAGTTAAATTTTGTATTAAAAAAACAAAATATTTTTAAATAAATTTAATTAAAAAGCATTTTAATGTATAAATTCTTAACTGCTTAGCTTCAATAATAATGAACTTTTACAATATATATTTTACATTAACATTCACTATGTAATTATTTACTATTATTTTATAAAAACTGTTTTTTTGTATATTAGGAAGTAGTTACCAAAAATATTCTACATAATTTGAGATTTTATAAATATTTAATTTTATAAATTTAAAACAATTGTGATGTTTTTTATCATTTATTCTCTCTGCATTTTTCAATTCAATATACTGTTTTTTATATAGCATATATGATATTGCTGAGAGTATCAACTTATAAATTGTAATAGTTCCTATCATGGTCCTCAATCAACACTTAAAATAACAATAAAACAAATAAAAATAAATAAAACATACTATGACCAAAAGTATAGAGATATCCATTGGTAGCAAGTACAATAGAAAATTTTGACCCACATGCTATTTTTTTAAGACAAACATTTCTATAACTGTCTACAAGGTTTGGGATAGACCTAACACTTGTTGATCCCAGGCCTAGTTTGCCAAATTCACCATCTCCCCAAGCATAAAGCTTTTTTCCATTGTTAGCAAGTGCAAGGGTGTGATCTTTTCCACAAGCAATCTATTAAAAAAGTTTAAAAATCATATAATAAAATTTCAACTAAACAAAACAAATAACTAAATTACTAAACAAAACTTTAACTAAACAAAACAAATAACTGAATTACTAAAGAAAAATAAATAACTCAAAAATAATCAATACACATGATGTAAACTTATTGAGAGCAATATTTGCCCCACATTATATAACCAAACAAACCACATTATAAACCACATTATATAACGAAACAAACAACATTATATAAGCAAACAAACCACATTATATAACCAAACAAACTACATTATATAACCAAACAAATCACATTATATAATTAAACTAACTACATTATATAACAAACAATCAATTTTTAAAATATTTACAAATGATTTGTTATTTTATTTACTTGTATGACAGGGGTTGGCACACTTTTTTAATGAAAGATGGATGACAGACTTTTTAATGAATGAAGGATGACACATTTTGATGAAAGAAAAGGGGCACACTTTTTAACCTCATACAACAGTCTAAATAACCCAGAACCTTTGAAAAAGAAACTCAGAACCTTTGAAAAAGTCAATAAACTACTTACCAACCAAATTACCAAAAAAAAATTCTCAAAAAATTTAAATAAAATTTTCTTTTACAGTTTGATAAATTTTAAAACTTTTAACTGGTATAAAGACTTTAAATATTGTTGCAAAAGTTTGAAAAGCTTGTAAATATTTCGTTTAGATGTTTGGGGTCATTTTCCTGTTGAAAAATGTATTTAAAAGGCATCTCTCATTCAGCATGTAGCAACATAAACTCTCCCGAGATATCTTTGCATACAAAATGGTCAATAATTCCATTAATTTTGTGATTAGGCCCTAATGCTGAGAAACATCCACAAAATATAGCAGACATTCCTTGCCTCACTCTTTTTATATGGTGTCACTTAGCCTCTAGACTTTCCGCTACTTACCAAAGAGGTTACATTTTAATTCATCACTAAAAAGATTTTTTTGACTGAGAACTATATTCAAGAAAAAAATTACTTTGTAATATTTTTCTTGAGCATCCAACGTAATGGTTTGCTTCACAGCAATTATTGAGATCGAAATGGTTATACAGATTTGCTTGCATTTTAATAAATTATATTTCTACAAATTTCAGTTTAATATTTTTTGCTTTTTAAATCTTTAATTTTCACGTAAAACACTTCATTTAGTCATGAGCTATTTTTAAATTTCTTTTTTTCCTATTTTTAACTTACTTGAAGAAATTATTAGAAGTTGAAAATTTTGTTATTTTAAATTTCTTTTTTTCCTATTTTTAACTTACTTGAAGAAATTATTAGAAGTTGAAAATTTTGTTATTTTAGAGTACTGTTATGGTAAAAGTGAAAACTTTTATCTATGGTAAATTAAACTTACTACTACGGTAAATTAAATAAAGACAATGAAATCTTATAAAAAAACCCTTTTGATTCATCCACCTTAAAAAATAAAAAAAAGGAGTTTTTAAGGAAAATGTGAAATTTTTTTTTTTTTGTGGTTTTTATTACATTTTAAATGTTTTAAATTTGGTTAAGAACATAATGAGTTATTTAAAAGTTGATATGTTTAATTTTTTTTACTACTTCTAATACTTTTTTATTGTTTTCGATCAAGTTTTAAAATTGAGTTTGTCTGCCATGTTTTATTTGATGTTCTAGCTTTTATTTTTTCATTCACAAGATTCATTTAAAATTTTTTTAAGATTTGTAGAGTTTTTACTAATATGCTACATCAAATTATTCTGGAAGTCTGGAATGATTGTATCATTTTTAAGTAGTCCTAGAAGACCATTTTTTTTTAAGCAACCATTGCAGGTGAATCTGTTATACTGACTAGTTTCTTTAAATGTAATTGGACCTGTAAAATTATGTCAGAAATTATTTTCTCTGTTATATGCTGTAAATTAAAAAAAAAAAAAAAAATGAAAAATAAGTTTTTGTATCTTGGCTACAAAAACTTATTTTTCATTATTTATAGGGTTATTTATATATATGTGTGTGTGTGTATATATATATATATATATATATATATATATATATATAATATATATATATATATATATATATATATATATATATATATATATATATATATATATATTCTTATTTAATATATATATTTAATATATATATATATATTCTTATTTAATATATATATTTAATATATATATATATATATATATATATATATATATATATTCTTATTTAATATATATATTTAATAATATATTTAATATCTATATTTAATATATATATATTTAATATATATATATATATAACTCTCTCCCAACCTAACAAAGATACGGCTGTTTCACACAATATAAAAGCAAGTTTGACGTCACAAGAATTTTTGTGCTTAAAAAAAAAAAAAAGAATTTCAGCATAAAAAGTATAAAAATTCACTAACTTTAAATTAATAGTATTTTTTTTTCTATAAATGCTTTCAATTTTGAATAAAAAAAATATAAAAGAACAATCTTACTTCGTTAAGTAAATATTTACGTTAAACAGAATAAAAATAAATATTGTTAAAATATTTTAAATGATTTTGTATCACTTTTATGTTTTTGGCAATTTTTACAAAAAACCTGTCTTGGGCCAACCAAAAGCGAATCGCTAACATAGCTTCAAGGTTGATGGTTGAAATTTAGAACACTTATCAATGAATGTTTATTCTATCAGATTCCTACGCCATCCTGGTGATTTTTTTACAATAACTCAATTTTTAATGCATTTATACATTTAAATTTATCTCTTTTAAATGTAAAATATAATTTTATTGATGGATGACGTAAGATATTGAAATTGAAATTTCGACCTTTTATGCAGATGAAAATATAAAAATTATTTTATGTACCTTTTGCTATGTTAGCGAACATGTTTTCAAATTTGGCATGTTTAGCAACTTTTTCTAGTTTTTTGTGTAAATTTTAATTTATTAAAGCAATGACGTAACATATTAAACTTTAAAACATTTTCTCTAATATTTTTTTGCGATTTTGTTTTATGACTTAATTTTCTCTGTTTCAATTAACATAAAGTTTGAGTAATATTTTTTTGTTTTTATATAGTCTAATAATGTTTATAACTTGTTTATAACTAATAGTCTAATAATGTTTATAACTTGTTAATAAATATTAGAAATATATATTTTCAATTTTTTGTTGATAAAAAGTATCAAAAATTTACTAAAGTTCAGCTAATTTCATCATTTGTTGCATTTTTTCTAATAGAGAATAAGTGACATCAATAAAAATTAAAAAAAAAAAGTTTTTTTTAAACTTTTGAATGAATGATCTTGTTAAGGTTAAGACGCTTGTTAATGACGACAGGACATTCATTTTTTCGGCATGCATACTAAAATTTTTACTAGTCTAGCGCAACACTTCAAATCTGAGACTGACTTTTTTTTTTTTTTTTACTATGATCTTATAAACCTTTGGGAATTTTAAACCAATTGGGAATACCGCGTTATACACCAGCGACGTATTGAGGCCAATTTTGATACCGATATACCGGTATGGGCCCCCAAATTTTAGCCCAAACTCAATTTAAAACAATTTTATATTAGCACCCATAATAATAAAATAAAATAATTTTTTATTACTTATTGTCTTGCTGTTTTTTGAGAAAGTTTGTTATGATAATTATGATAATAAAACTTGTTACGTTGTTAATGTCCATTAGAAAAATCAACCAATTTGAAAAACGACATTAAAAACACATTTTAAATGTGTTTTAAGTCATTCAGAATGCTTTATTTGAATTCACGTTGATGAAATATGGAATATGTTACAACTGGATTAAAATGTAAAACACATATTTTGATTAGATTTAAATATGAGACGCTCAGCATTTTTTAATTGAAAACTTTGACATTTAAAAAATACTCTATGTTTACTTAATACAATTTTTAAAGCAATTTAACTATATGAGCTTTAAACTTTTTCATTTCAAATAACAGTGAAATTGCATTAAAAATATTTTAAATAATAAAACAAATAAAAGTTTTTAAAACATAATAACATTATAATAATCGCGCTAAAAAACTTGATTTGAAAAGTAAGAGTAGAACAAGAAAAAAAAGTTATTAATTTTTGAATGAATTAATTAAAATTTTGAATGAATTGATCTTGTTAAGCAATAAATACGCTATGTAATAAATCGTTTTAAGTCTTTATAAAAGAAACATACAAACATTGTTTAATAAATATTTTAGTTATCGCTTGTTTATGAAATAATACTCTTTATATTAGTAATCGAATAAAGCAAGTAAATGAAAACTAGCGTCGAACTGACGTTGGAGTTAAAGCCGTCATTTTGTAATAAATGTAACATTATTTTGGTTAACTGTTAAAAATTACGAAAAGCCTAAAATACTAGGGCGAGTTATATAACAATAAATTAGTATATTTAAATTTGTGTTTAAATAAAAAAAAAAAAACCTCTTAAAGTAGACAGGATTTTTAGACCGGTATGCCCAAAAAAATTCTGGATACGTCACTGTACACGGTGCCATCAGGCTGGGTAACACCCTGGTTATAGATGTTGGCCAACATTATAGATGTTGGCCGACGTTATAGATGTTGGCTGACGTTATAGATGTTGGTCGAAAAAGATTGATTCAAGTGACTTTACTTTTTTTTGACAAACTTCTATTCTATTGGGGTACATAGAAAATAATTAAATTTTCATGTAATAATTGTTGTTTTGTATTGTGAAAGTGAAACAAATGAAACTTTTCATATTTAATGAAAATTCTTCTCTAAATCTAATTAAAAAAAACTCTGCTTCTAGTGCAGGTCACTATGTTTCAAAAATACTCTTCGTGTGCACATACATGTTACAAGCAAACCTTTTGTTAATATGAGATCCTTGTAAGAAAAGGATTTGAAAAGTGACAGGTGTCACTCAATATTCATGTTTGTGTCACGTGGTATGATGTAATAGGCTCCCAAAGCAAAAAAAAAAAAAAAATTTAATCATTATTTCCAAAATATTTTATACCATTAGAAAGAGCATTAAATAAGCTTTCAAAATCATATAAAAAACATATGTTGAAATGTTTTACTTCATAAGATAAAGGACATTATGTAAGTTACCGAACCGGGGGTTATTTACAAAATTACCACAATAAAAAATAAAGTAGATAATTAAGTTGATATATATATATATATATATATATATATATATATATATATATATATATATATATATATATATATATATATATATATACATATATAATATTAATATATATATATATATATATTAATATTAACATTGTATTAATATATAAACTATGTCATATGTAAACCAAAATAGTATTAACAACTTACAATATTTAATGAAGAAAAAAAAGGACCCCGGAAAATATTTAATTGATAGTATTAAGTCAATTAACCTTGTAATGTAAATGGAATTAAAGACATATATTGAATGAAAAGCTTCAAATATTCTAAGATTTCATTCTTAAACTCAAACCTTCTAAATTTTGGAAATATATGTTAAAATTAATGTGCTTACAAGCTGGTATTTAATAATACGAATAAATTAAATTGCGTCTTATAAATCTCTACATTCATAGTCATAGTTTTCCTTTTGGTAGTCTACATTTTTATTTTTACATCCTTTACACTTGCACATACCAGTACAAAAAAGTTTATTTTTCAAAATTGTGCACCTTTTATTACTACAGTCTCTTTTACAGTGACAGACGCTTAACTCAATAAGTACTATTGGTACTGGCAGGTTATCAGTCATTATGGGGTCAAAAGATTCATTGTTTAGTTTCCAAACATATAGAGTTGAAGATCAAGTGTAACAATTGTTTTTTTACTCCCTGTAACGGCAACGTTAATTCCCTGAACAAGCTTTAATGCAGTAAATAGGTTGCTGTAATCAGTCGGTGTACCTGCATGTATTGGTAGACCCTGTGTTACTGTAGATGTAGGAGCATCTGAAAGTAAGAGTTAAAAGCACCTTTTCAATCACATTAAAAAAAGCATAAATTCAATCAATGGTGCAAAATGATTAAATATTAACACGGCTCTTTTGGTTTGTATAAAAAAAATTTAACTTGCTAAAAAAAAAATTAGTTGCTATGGGGATCAATTGTGTCATACCACCTGTCACGCAAAATAAAAATTGAGTGACACCTGTCATTTTTCAAATCCTTATCATACAAGGATCTCATATCAGCAAAAAGTTTGCTTGTAACACGTATGCGCACACGAATACTTTTAGTATAATTATCATGACCAGAAGACCCATAAACATTAAATGGATCTGTAACATTTAAAAAAAAGTTAAAAAGTAGATAAACCTGGGTCTCAAAATTTTATATAAAATTGTTATTTTAAATTTTACTGCATAAGAAATTATATTTTTTTAAATACTTTTACAAATTTTTTGACAATAATATTTTTTTTGATACATACATACATTATCTAGAATTGACACTTATGTTCTATTTTAAAAAATTTAATTTTTTCAGAAAAGTGTAAACTCTAAACTTTTTTATATTCATAGTTATGTCAAATGAGATTGTTTTGTCAGAAACCAATCAAGTCTTCTTAATGATTAGAGCCTAGGAACACCGCCCTTCCCCAGCAGCATTTTTTTGTTACAGCAAAAAATTTAATTTGACACCAGTATAACATTGAAAATATTGGTGTTACAAATACACAAAGCTTTTTTTCAATCAACTTGGAGAAAGATTACATGTATTGGTTCATAATAATCTTTGATATTCCAAGAAATCAATTCTTGAAGAGTAATTGCATCAGAATTTATCTATAAATAGCAGTGTCTTATTTTTTCTAAATTATAAAATCTTATTGAAATCAAACTTTCTTTTAACTTTTGTCAAGAGAGAAACCAGAATACACTCATTATGACTGTAACAAGTCCCAGTTGGTATTGGTAACATTACCAACTGGTAGTTAGAAAGCCCCCATGGCGTGGTAATATTCATCATATTGACTGGGAGCATCTTAAGAATTTTAAGTTTAAGCTAAATACGCTTTGGACCCTCCTCCAGCAGATGTTTGGTAGAATTAAAGTTTAAAATACATTTTTTACACAAAGCTCAACTAATGTCTTCAATATGTCCCCAGCTAACTGTATTTAAGATTATGATTTCTTCTCACAAGTCTAAGCCACACTTGTTGTAAGCAAGAATGAGATAGTGACTCATATCTAAGATTTGAAATATCTGAAAAAAGTTTTCCTGACTTAATTTTACATACTTATAACTGACATAAGCATCAGTATAAATGCTTTTATGTTTTCTCATCCAGTTTTGGGAGTTCCTCTCCATCTGGCAGTTTTTTGGGAGTTCCTCTCCATCTGTCAGGAGTGTATTTTATAACTCATTGTCATATCATTTACATACTTTAGATTTTTTGTGAACTATTCTTGTAAACCTATCCTTGCTATTTGTTGATATTTTGATATTAAATATTTTAGTTTAAGTTCATTTGTATGTTTCATGCAATTAGCATTTATGTTCAAACGTTTTCTCAAGATAAGCATTAATACCCATCCTGTGTTGGTTTTAGTTGAATCTCCACCTATTACTACACATGATTCAGTAGCAATGTTTTTTCAAAACACCTCATAGAATGCTTTAGCTATCTTTTTTGCAGTTTTTTCTAAATGAATGACAGGTTCTATTGCAATGTGAGCAAGATAAAGTCCAGTTCCAAGTTACACTCCTCAAGCTCCTCATTTATCAGACTAGTTTTCCATATTTATCTGGAATTAAATTTTTTTTCAGTCTTTTCTTGCATCATAAGCAACTCCAATTACATTTTCATTATAAGATTTATTTGCTTCAATAATTGTATTTTCTTTTATTACATTATTCTTAGCCCTTCGAATTTTGTTTGGGTCAACAGCAAGATTTTGAAGAGCATTTTGTCAAGTGTTTTAGCTTTGCACTTTAATTTATATTGTATGAGGCATAACTATTTACTTCCATCAGATCAAAATCCAGATTCTAAATCCTTTCAAGATTTAGTTTCTATAGTAAATATTATTGGTTGCTTATATTAAAGAATTAAGTCTTTTTATATTGCAATAAGGAAAATTATAAAACTATTTAATTCATTCAAAATGACATGAAATATATATATATATAACTCAATTTTTCTTTTCTTTTTTTGTTTTTCCTTTTTCCTTCACTTTCTTCCTGAATCTTTTCTTTTTTCTTTATACTGTAGACTCTTTAGAAACACACAAACTAATTTGCATCGTAGAAATCTTTTTCTTTTTAAGCTCCAGGTTATGAAGCTGCCAAAGAAGATCTATTGATGCTTTGTGCATATATTGATAAAATATAAGAGACTATTGAGATTATTTTATTGGTTGCTTTCTTGGATGGTTTTGCATTTTTCAAAAAATAAAGACTTTAACAATATTTCATATAATAATTAAAAAAATACTTAAAACATCTATTACAAAGTTGAAAAAAATAATCTATTAATAATAATTGTTTTATCTCATATTACGCATACTCACCTTGAGAATTAAAAAAACTAGTTATAAAAATGTCATAAAGTTTGTTGTTATAAAACTTTCACAAAAATAGGAATTTTTTAAATGATAAACTGCATAACTAAAGGTCTCAATTATGCTACCAAAATATTTTCAAAATAAAACACACACATGTATTGGTGGAGGTGAAAATTACTTTTTTGAAAATATTTTCTGTTACATTCCTAGGTTTGTTCTACATAATAAAAGAACACTGGATTTAAATTTTTTTTAAGAGTTATGACTGGCCTTTTTTTAATTTTCAGTGGATCCCTAAAAGTATCGAAAAAAAAAAAAAGTTTATAAAAACTTAAAAAAAGAAAACCTGTGAAATATGTTCATTCTTTAGTGATAATATCAATTGTGGAGTTTTTTGTGGAGAATTTCCACCATCTCCCAAAATTCCGTATTGGCCTTGACCAAATGTGAAAACTTTACCATCTTTAGTTAAAACAGCAGAATGTTTAAAACCACAAGATGCCTAAAAGAAAATATTTTTAACAATATACAAACAAAAATAGAAAAGAAAAAGGAAAAGAGCTTAACATAAAAAAGAAAAAGAGATTACATGATTAAAGAGATAACATGATTAAAGAAAAAACCAAAACACAATTAAATTTTACTTGTAAGAAACTTGTTTTAGATAAAAATAACAAACTATTATAAAAAAAATTTACATTTTGAAAAATTTTTAAATTGTCAATGTTGAAAAGCTCAAAATATTTAATTATCCCAATCTCATATTCAAACCTTTCAATGGGTTGTATTTTTTCTTCAAATTTTCAATTATTGAAGAATCAAGCAAAATCATCTGGTGGTATCAAGCAAAATCATATGGTGGCTATCTGTAGTAAAATGTTTGTCTTGTTTCGTTTAATATTTGAGTATAGATTGCACCACATTTTATACCTTTTTAATCCTGCGGTCCTGTCAACCAGGTTGGTTGTGAATGAGAAATTAGGCATCTACAATTTTTGAGGTTAATATTATTGTTTAGTGTTCTGGGAAATTTATTATAAGTTTCCTAGAGACACTAAATAAGTCACTATATCTGACTGAGAAATTTCTTATGTACAAATACTCACTCCTAATATAAAATTTACCATTTTTCACATTCTAGTGAATTATAAAATGTGCTTCTAAGCAAACAAATAGTCATTGTTTCAAATACAAAACTCTGATTGTTCCTTGTCACATGATTTACAACAGTGTTTTAACTTGGTATTTTACAACTATTTTGTTTAAAAATGTACAGTATAAGTAGTTCTGATGATGATCATGAAACAAAACATTTTTACAAGATGACTGTTAACTCAGATGAAACTTCTAGAAAGTTAATTCAAAAGGAAGACAGGATTCCTTTTAAATTATCCATCTACAAAGTGTTTTTTTACAACAAAACTGAACAAGGAAAAGTAGTTACTAAAGCTTTATTGACAGTTTCACCTCCTCAATGTTCACTTTAAAAAAATATTTTGCAGTACTGGAGCTACCAACAGTGATCCAATGTCCGTGATATAAAAAACATAAAGAAATTTGCCAAGTTTAATACAGATTATGAATATTTTTATGATGAAATCAAGCAGTGCTCTGCAAACCAAACTGCCTGCAACTTGATATAAAGTATGATGATGAGTAGAATAAAACCTCAAACAATAAAACCTTGTCTTTGATTATTTCTTTATTTTGTGTTCCTCATTTAATTGGTATTTCAATTTTTTCTTGATTTTTAATCTATTTAAATGTAAATATAGAATGCTATTTTATTTATACTTTATTTTACCACTTTTCAAAATCAAAATCATTGTAAAAAACTTTTTTTTAGGTAAAAAGTTTTTATTGCAGAAATCTGTCTACAGAAAAGTTTTAGCAAAAAAAAAAAAAAAAAAAAAAAAATAAAACTTTTAAAACTATACTCATTATTTGTTTTGGTACAATTTTTTTTTAAGCCAAAACCTTCAAATTTATTATTTGGAAGTTCTTTTTAATTTTTGAAAATTGAAAAAAATGCACTTTTGTTATCAATGTATAAAAATAAATTGTTTTAATCAAAACATTTTATTTTTATAATACAAAAATTTATAGAATAAAATCCTCACTTTAAGGATTTCATTTTATAAATATTTAACTTATTCAAGTCATTTCTAAAAACAGTTTGTGTTAATTTAGACACTGTCTACCCCCTTCTCCAGCTCTAATGTGTAGAATTAAATTATCAAACATTAAGAAAAAAAAAAAACATAAAAAAAAAAATGCAGTTTTTAAAAACAAACTTGCACAACATGCTCTGCTTGAAGTGCTATAATTTGTTTTGGTTTTCTTTGTCTTTCACTGTTTCCATGTCCTAACTTTCCATAATCACCATCACCCCAACTAAAGACTTCACCACTATCTGCTACTGCTAAAGTATGTCCATCACCGCCAAGGGAAGTAGCCAACTGAATTATACAATAACCTGATGAACAAAAAATTATTGAAAATTATAAACTTAATTAAAACAGCCTTTTAGATTTTTTTAAAAACAACTTTTTTACACACATTTTAAAAACAACTTTTTTTAGACACATAAATATCCCCTTACTTTGAACAAATAGTTAATAAATAGCAATAAGTTATTTTGACCTTGCAGCTCAGTTATTGGTACCAAAGAGTGCTCATCATCTGATGTCCCTTGCCCTAATCTTCCATAAGTGCCCTCTCCACATGCAAATACTGAACCATTAGTTTGTAAGAGAAATGTGCAATTTTGACCACACACAATTTCACGAACTTGTTTAAATGTTGACACTAAATTTGGTTGTAAGCATGTTTTTCCTTGCAAACCAGGCAACTCTCCATGAATATTAGATCCCCAAACATAAACAGTTATTGGTGCTGATATTTCCCAATCTTTTGGGAAATTAGTAAACCAATCTATAATTTCATTATCTTGTGTTAAACTCCAGCTTGAGTTAGCCTAATAAACAAAATTTATAAACAAACATAAAAAAAAAGGTAAACAAAACAATTTTGCCTGATTTTTTAAAACTATTTCTGAACTTCAGTTACTTTAATTCAAAAATTATTTATAATATTTTTTAGAATTTTATAGAAAATGTATATATATATATATATATATATATATATATATATATATATATATATATATATATATATATATATATGCATATATATATATATATATATATATATATATATATATATATATATATATATATATATATATATGTATATATATATATATATATATATATATATATATATATATATATATATATATATATATATATACACATATACTAAATGATGAACTTTAATTCTGTTAATCAATAAAGTCTACATCATTAAATACTTTATTAGCATGATATACTTTATTGAAATGCTTTAACAACGAATTCTACACTTATTCAATGAACATTGGAAAGGTCAAATACACAAATCAATCAGTTTTAAAGGTGCAAAATTATATACATTAACTAATAGATTAAAAATTCAACAATGATAAAACATCCATCATCCATTAAGTTTCATTTTGTGTGCGTTCCAGGTTGACACAAGTAATTAACATTTTTCTTCCCATAGAGTAATCCTATTAATTACATTCTATAAAAGTAATAAAATATATGTTTACCATGCTTTTTTCATTAATATCTAACTTGTTGTTTAGTTCCCAAAATGATTTAGGAAATTCAGCTCGCTTTTTTAGAGCTATTCCTGACCAAATGGTACTGCAATATAATCTAAACCATCGCATGTTTTTGTATGTTTCAACCTCAGAGTTTTCCAATAAAATATCATATCTCAATAACAGTGCAATATTAACAAGAGATCGCATATAAGAAGAGTAAGTCAACTGTGTACCTGTAGTTACCTGATTCTGAAAAAAAAAAAATCTGTTAAAAAATAAAATTAATAAAAAAAATTCATTATATATATATATATATATATATATATATATATATATATATATATATATATATATATATATATATATATATATATATATATATATATATATATATATATATATATATATATATATATATATATTTATATATATATATATATATATATATATATATATATATATATATATATATATATATATATATATATATATATATATATATATAAGAAATTTTATTGAATGCTTTGATTATAAAAAACAATTTTAAATATAAAATACAATTATAAAAACATCTTGTTGGAACATTTAAGTACCAGATTAAATTTACATTAACAAAAGCTTTTACAAAAAATCTAAAAAATATTTTATACTTGACATAGATCAGACAAATTTATCTTCATAAGTATACCTTTACAAAAACTTTATAAATAATTTATTATATATATTTTTATACATTTTAATAGTAATGGTTACTAAGTTTTTTCTTAACTTTTAACTACTCTTTATAATTAATCTGAAAAAAAGTCTTAAAAAAATTGTAACAAAATGGTTTTTGAAAATTGCATCAGACAGATCAAGCTGAGTGAAAAAAACTTCATTATGTCATGAAAAAGTAAAACCAGTTCTCATTACTTCTATAAAAGGTGTAAACACTGACAAAATAGCAGAATTTAAATAACAGATCATTTATGTTTTGAAGAAATAGAACAATACTAATACAGTGATAGTCAATAGATTACTTATAGGCAAATAAGGCAATAACAAATTAACTCAGTTTTCATTCTGATTATTATACCTATAATATATTTATTTGTAAAGTTCTACTATTATTGTTGATAGTTAGAGAAAGTTAATTGTTTGGAATTTTTATTTTTATTTTTTAATTTGAAGATGTAAAACTTATATCATTTTTGTTTAATATGTTTAATATTAATATTAAACATTTTTAAATATCAGAAACAATTTGCATTTATTTAGCAAAAAAATATTTTTGCTATTTCTTTTTGCTACCACTCATATTAAAATCAATTTGTATTATTCAAAGATAAAAAAAGAAGCTTTACAAGCTTGAGAAGAATCAACAAGAGACAAGAGAACACCCTACTCAAGCTTGACAGTTAGAGAAGATCTAACAACCTTTTAAATGTTGTTAGACCTTCTCTAGCTGTCAAGCTAGAGAATTGTTATAAGGTTGCACCTCTTTCTCTTTTCTACAAATACAAACATAGTTGTTGCTCAAGCGAGAAGTATATAACAAAAACATCTCTTGCATTATTAAAGGTAAAAATGTTTTTCGTTGTTTGTTTAAAATTATTTTTTGGTAAGTACTAAAGCTTTCTTAAGAAGGTCACACTTACTAAGGTACTTATTTTTTGAAACTTTTATTACTCATTCTGCTATTCATAATGATTCTGAGTTCTAAGCCTGTTATGAAGGTTTCCTAAACTTTGCTCTCAGTATCTCTTTTGTAGCTTTCAGTAAAGTCTAACAGAAAGCTACAAGAGAAATTTCATTAACAGCAGTAAAAGTGTATTAACAGTGGAAACACTCTTATCAAGTTCTCTATTCTACATCATCATTATGTGTTTTGATTGCGTTTTTTTTATTCACCTTCATTGTGCTTGTATTTTTCTTATTGCTGATTTCCTTCTGCACCTTTATAAATATCTAATTCGTCCTTGAATAGATTAGTTTTACATTTGAGTTGAATCTTCTATTGATGTGTTTTTTTTCTATAGCAAAAATACATTATAAAAGTAGATAGACATGATATATATACCTCCCCAATGCCGAGAAGGCCACAACAGACAAGGAGGCTACTTAATTGTGGTTATAACCCTTTCTCAACTCTATAACTCCGAAACACGAACCTTGACAAGTACCTTGCTCAACTTGTTTGCTCTCAGTATCAGTATATGACAAGTACCTTGCTCAACTTGACAAGTACCTTGCTCAACTTGCTACCTTGGCAGTACCTTGCTCAACTTCTTTCTCCGCGCTGCCGCGCGGAGAAAGAAGTTGAGCAAGGTACTGCCAGGGACGTGGTGGGAATTAAATATAGGGATATATATGGAGATATAATATATATATATATATATATATATATATATATATATATATATATATATATATATATATATATATATATATATATATATATATATATATATATATATATATATATATATATATAAATTAGTAGAAAGTCACTTAACAAAAATATTTCATTTAGCACTGTGTTTCATCAATAAGGACTCATCAGAAAAAAAAATTACTATTTGAATTTCTATTTGGTATTTTTTATTTTAGTTTTTTCTGTAAGTTGGTATAAGTTTTATTTATAACTTTATAAAGTTTTGTTTATTTGTTTAACAGGATACAGAACAAGTAATAGCTAAGAGTATTAGAGGTGTTTAAATAAAAAATAACAATATTATACTTTGTATAAAAAGAAATGTTACAACTTTTTATTTTACTTGCTACAAATTCTAACTATTTTTAGCACGATTAAATAAAATCACTGTTAAAAATATCAATTATTATTACAATTATCTATATTTGAAAAATTATAAAAGTATTATTGTAAAGCCTTGAAAATAAAAAATACAAATAAAGTAAAATAAAACAGCCCTTTAATAAAATTGTCAGAACTTGGATTAATTAAATGCTTTTACAATTACTGTTAGTAACTAAACAATTACTGTTAACAATTAAAACAATCATTGCTAGTAATTAAAGAAAATTTGATTATCAAACATCATAATTTGAGTAAACTTTGTCATTTTTAATGTCTTTAAATAAATAATAAAAACAAACCTGTTCAAACTTGTACTGAGATTGCAAAAAAGGAAAAAGTTGTGTTAAGAAAAACTTAAAATCTGCACATGGTGAGTTACATTCCATTATAGAGAGTAAAAAATCAGCATGTCGAAGATGAGGTAAGTCTGTCATATTTTTCAACATTAATACATTAACAAAATTGATTTCCTAAAATTCACATAAACAATATTGAAATTCAGATTGATAACTTTCAAATTCATATAAACAATCTTTAATTTGGTAAAACAACCTTTTAATAATTTTAAATAAATAAAAATATAATTGTAAAAACTGAAAAAATAACCTTCTAACTTTAATAAATAACTTTATTTAAATAAATAATTTTCCAACTCAAATAAATAATTTTCTAATTTACATATATATTCTTTAAACTCTCATAAATTACTTTTAAATTCACATAAATAACCTTCCATGAACAAATTTCCATGAACAAATTTCTGATTAAAAAATTATTTTTTTTTAATCAGTGGAGCATTTGCATGTCTAATCATGATCAAACTATGTTGAATGCTATATTAAATGGATTTATCCAAAAGGCTAACTCAATCTTTAGTAAGGCTCATTTGGGGCTTACTCAACCTGTGTAAGGCTCGTTTGCAAAATAGATGTGATAGAAAGCAAATGATAAAAAAAAAAGTAAAAAACAAAAAATAAAATCCAACTAAAGGTATTTTATATTTTAAAATTGTTATATGTTTTTAGTTATTTTATTTTTTAGTTGCTATATTTTTTAATTGTTATAATTTTTAGGTGTTACATACATAATTTTTAGGTGTTACATACATTACAAAGCGTTAAGTTTTTTAGGAATTGGGAGTGCTATTTATTTATAGAAATAAAACAGAAGTTTACATGTTAAAGTACTTAAAAATATCAGCTTTTTATCAATTGTTTGAAACAAGAGAAAAAGATTTTTAAAGAAAATAAAGCAACAACTTGTAATTTGAAAAACACCAAAGAACAAAACCTTTTTATTGTGTAATAAAATGTCTTTTTCAAGAACATCAAAGAGCAACACCTTTTTGTTATGTAACAAATGTCTTCTTTAAGAACTCCAAAAAGCAACACCTTTGTGTGTAACAAAAAAAAGAAAAGAAATAATATGCAACAAATTAGTTGATTCTAATCCTAGAAGAGTTTGTGCTTGTATTCTAGCTGATGGCAGAAATGCAAATTACTAAAATTACTTATGACGCTTAGTCAAATTATGGCTCTAAAGACCAATTAACTTGAAGTTATTGAAACTAACTACAAAATACTAAAAAACACAAATTTGAAGTAATATTACAAAGTTAGTGCATCTAAACAATAAAAAAATTACATTTACAAATTGTTTACAACTTGATGTAAAGCTTATAAAACTATATTTGTATCTTGTAAAGAAATATCTTGATTTCAACTTACAGTAGAGTATTGTTCAATGTAACCTAGATGATCATCCAACCAAAACAAATATTTGATTGGAACAATAGAATTGCCAACCTTATGTGGTGAAAATAAATTTTCATTCTAAATAAAAAATTTGAAAGGCTTCAATATAATAATACAATTATCTAAATTTCTCTTAAATTACCAATACTAAATTTACCTCAAAAAAGTAGACTGTCCCATTTTTACAAGACACTGCTAAATGTTTACTGAGACTGAATGAAAGATGGTCAATTGTACAACTTAACAAACACAATGTCTGTGAAGATATTGTTTCCACATTAGAATGGTCAATATCCATCAACAAAATCTCATCTTTATTGCAACAAGATTGAAAATCTGATTGAGAGAGCGCAGCTGGTTTCTCTGGTTTAGAAAATGTCCAAAGATTTATTGTACCATCTTTAAAACCTCTAAGGTATAAGCCATTATTTTTATTATAAATTGTTAAATGACCTGAAAAAACTTAATGCACAAACTCGCACACAAACGCACATACACAATCACATGCATATATATAATGTCATTTATAATTTAAAAATCAAATTAATTTTAAAAACCTTGTGCTGAGAATAATGAAATTCTCAGAGTTGTCAAATTGTTACTTGAAAAAAATTTTGAGGTAAACTAGAATTTTTTGTATGTTATTATATGTTATACACTATATGTCAGTAATTATCTGGTTTAGAGTTATTTCAAAGTAATTTTCAAAATTTTGATATAAAATAAAATTTCAGTATGTTCAAAGAGTAAGAGAAACGAATGAACATTTATAGATAAAAATATAAAGAACTACAGTAAAAAAATGTTATAATATAATCAACAGGGTAATAAAACAATAATATCAAAATTATATAACAATATAAAAATCTAAAATAAAATTTGGTAAAATGCAACATTTTTATTAGGAAACATTAGGGTGTTTGATTAAAGAAATATGAGAAAAAAAACCGTTCCCTAACCTTTTTTATTATTATTATACTTTTTGTCTTTCACACACACACAAAAAAAAAAAACTTGCATATTAGTCTGACTTTCCCTAGAATAAAGAAAGAACAAAATGAAACAAACAGAAATTAAAAAAGAACAAGCTAAACTTTTCAGTTTCATAAAAAGACTTTGGAAAGTAAAGAAACACAATCGAACAAAAACTAAGCAAAATCACTGCAGAGTGAATTAAAAATAAAGGCTAATTTACCCCAAAGAGCTGAAAACTAGGGATGTACCGAAGCTAAAATTTTGCCGAAGCCGAAGCTTCGGCCGAAGCCACTTTGCCGAAGCCGAAGCTTCGGCACTATATATGCTTAAAATTTAATCAGCATTCAAATCAGCAGGGGTGTAAAACAAAAAAGGTTCCAAAACTAAGATCCTTGACTAATAATATAGAAAAAATGTATAAAAATGAGGACACAAGTCAGGGTTGCTGCCCCAGGCAGGGCAAAAGCTATCAGCGCCCCTGTTTGAAAGTTTCTCATTATGTCGTTTCTGATACTTCACCGCACCTAGTTTTTTTTTTTTAAAACTTAAGCTTTTTTGAAACATTCTCCCCAAATTTTCCTACTTCTAGTTCTACTTTTTCTGTGTACAAACCATATTAATGTTATATAGAGCACAATATCAGTAACTCACATATATTTCCAACTATTCTCAATATTTTTCTAAAATCATTGCTATGTTTTTGATCTTTGAGCCATACTGTTCTTCTATGTAAACATTGTTTCTCTTTAATCCTCTATCTAATCATCTAATTTTTAATCCTCTATTTAATCATCTTGTTTGCTCTATCTAATTATAGTGTGCTAGCTGAACATCCTCAAATTTTATTCCCCATAAATTACTGTTACGCATCTTTTCATGTGCTGTATATTTTATTTTTATTTTTAATGCACCTTTTGTTAAGAGTGGATAAAAATCTCTAAATATTACTAAAGTAAATTAATCTTTTACACTTGAACACTCTTTCTCTAAATAAACACTCTTAGCTGATCTAGTTGTATCTACAACATAAAAAATCTTACAAACACACTTTATCTTTTTATTGCTATTTATTTCAATATCTTTTTTTTGCTTCTCTGTATTCATTAAACGAACAATTTCTAAACTAAAAAAACCCCAAGTTAAGACCATTTTGTATTCCACTACAACTGTTGTGAACCTGCTGCTAAAAAAAAGTACAATTGATAGATTTCTCTCTAACTTCTTTTTTACACACTTTTAAGTTGTTTTTTTTTTTTTTTTATTATTATTTTTAATTATACACTACATAACATTTTCTTAAGCTTCTATTAATCTTTTACACTCTGAAATTATAGTATTCATTCTTCTTCTGTCTCTGTAATGGATAAATCTGCATCAGTATCTGAAATCAAATATTAACTATCTGTTACAAAAACTTCTATAGTAATCTAACAACTCAGTAGAGTGAGCTTTAAATAAAACAATAAATAGAATACTTTATAAATTTTTCATTTATAATTATATTATTATTTATTTTATATTTATAAATAAACAGGGACTGAGCAGGCTGATATTTAATTGATTTAAATTGTTTATTTAATTTAAATAAATTTTGATGATAAATATAAGAGCTCAAAGTAATCAAAGCTTTAACCTTTAATTTATTTTAAATAAAATTTAAAAGTCTTCATATCATAAGAAGAAACCAGAATATAAGTTTATATGTTTAATATATAAATTCAATTTAGAAGTATTCATGATATTAATAAAAGAGCAAGGATAATTATTATCATTGTTTTTCTTTTTCTTTTAATTTATATAGTTTTGGTTGACTTTTTTTTTCTTTTTTTATTCTCCTCATTTATATTTCATTTGCTTTTCTTCCTTTTTTGTTGTTGAGAACTTTATGTTTTTTATGTGTCACTCCATTGACTAGTTTGTAACTTTATAAGTGACACCTAACCAATTTCTGTAATCTTACAATGAAAATTTGTAAATTTTTATTATTATGGTTAAATAAAATTTAAAAAAATTAAACATACACAGAATTTAAAATAGTAGCAACGTATCTTTAATCTTCTTTAAAGTGAAATTACTAAGGTTTATAGGTCAAATGTTGAAACCAATTTTTGTTCTATTTGCGGTAATCCCACACAAAAATTAATATAAATTCGTTACATAATACAAATTAAGGTTTTTTTTCCATTTTATTTTTAAAAAGTTTTAATTTGTTTTAAATTATAAGGTTTTTATTCTGCATAAAAATGCTGATTCAGTTCATCTAAGTCACACTTGGAAGCCTTCAAAGTGTATGAGGACCTTCCTTAATTTTACTATTATATTCAAAATATTTCTACTTATTTATTATCATCCCCTCCATAACAAGACATTTGGGAGTAAACAATACTAAGTATATGGTATAGACTCCAACTTTAACTCTGTAGTCCTGAATTTACAACTTAATTAGACACTGGCAATTAGCATATTTTTATAACTTGTACAACAGTAGCTTATAACTTTAATTACTAAAAAATTTTTTGCCGACGCCAAAGATTCGGCAAAAAATTGACCTGGCTTCGGCCGAACCGAAGCTTCGGCAAAATTGCCGAAGCTTCGGTACATCCCTACTGAAAACAAAAAAAACAAAAAAAACAATACAGAATAGATAAGGAAGAACTATTGCTAAAACATAATGAGTTATCAAAACTATTTCTGCATGTTTTTGTTTATCAAAACATCATAAAAATTGGAAATCGGAGTTTTCTTCAAATCTAAAAATTTTTATAATCTTATTAAATTGCACTTGGTGTTGACATTTAAATAGACCATAATTTTTTTAAATTTCATAAAATTTATTTAAGAATTAAGTAATTTAAAATAATTTAAAGATTTTAGCCTGAATAAAATACCTGTTTTATAAGTCAAGGTTAAATATATTATTATAACCAGAGATAAGATAATGTTTCATAATACTTAGTGTATTTTGCCAGTTTGTAGAACATTGTAAACTTTACAATACTGTATCATTAAGTCAAAACTGGCAATTTTCAACTTAATGTCTTTTGCCAGTATACCCATGATATAAGATAGTAGTTATCATTTACTGTGTAAAGTATGTATTTATTATGAACAACTGCAGTCTTCCTTCAAAGTTTCATTAAAAAGCCTCTTTTATTTTATTAAAATAAAACAGGCTGCTATTTTTTATGTCTTTTTTTATTAATTTGTTTAATTAAGCAAGTTTAGTAAGTTCAAGGTCATACCCAAATTACTTCGAAAACAGTGCCTATTGATTTTCGAGTATGAGAGACATTTGACCCAACTGAACAGGCCTGAAGGCAATATTTTTTTGATATTTCATATAAGACATTTTCAGGAATTATGCAAACTTCAAACTTAAATATGTTCAAACTTATGTCAAATGAGTGTGTTTTGCAAAAAATTGTGGTGTTTGGAGCCTGAGAACAAAATAACTTCAAAGTGTACTCCCCATGGTAAGAGAGTATTTGTTCCTCAATATCAGTTAATTCAATCTGATTCAAATTTACCTTTTACACTAAAACGCCACCAATATTTGCTTAGATTAACATGCACAAGTACCATAAATAAAAGTCAATTCTATGACTTTTGCCTGTTCAAGAACAAGATCATTTCATAGTTTGCTTTTTAAAGTTAATGAACATTCATTACAAGACATGCCATTTAATGTTTCACAAACAATGTTCTATTAAAAAATCTATCTAATTTATAAAATATTAATTTCCTATTTAATACCACATTAAAAAAAAAAAACTAAACAAATTTATCTGTTTTAAATAAATAATTAATTTATATATATTAAATAAATTGATCAATTTAGCTATGAAACATTTTACTGGAAACCCTGTTGTTGTTACTGGAAACCCAGATGTAGTTATTGGAAACCCAGAAGTTTTTATAGGAAACCCAGATGTTGTTACTAGAAACTAGTGATCGACCGAAATTCGGTTCGGTTCCGGTTCCGGTCATAAATTTGGCCGGAATCGAAATTCCTGTTTCGGTTCCGGCTAGATTTGAGATTTCGGTTTCGGCCGGAATTTCGGTTCTAAATGCTACCGAAAATAGATATTATAAAACTTTATTTTAAATAAATTATTTAGCATTGTAGCGTAAATATATTTTGATTAAAAAAATTTAAATAATTTTTTTGCTAGTTATTTCAACTTCTTATATTATTTTTTGCGTCCGATCGCGTTGTTACTTTTATCTGGTTTTTAATTTTCATGTTTAAAATATCATGATCTACAAATTTAATGACGCTACAATGTTATCTACATTGTAGAGTCATATGTTTATGGACTTGATTATTTATTTATTTTAATTATCGCATGGAATTGGTAACGGTAAAATCTTTACGAACTTGGTGATTTTTTTTTAAATTATCACGTGGAATTTGTTTGAAATAAATTAAAAAAGT